CTAGTTACAACAGCAAGGAACGTATCTTTAAGACATGCACTATCTTCAGACAATAAATATGCTATTTCATATAAGTGTTAATAATTTAACTATACTGATATCAGCACATGTCAGCCATGCACATAGTCTGTCAACAGTTATTCAATAACTGCATACTTTTGTATACTTGTGTTAGGCTCAGCCTTTCACTAAACAATAAGGATGTGCTTCCTAAAATTCACAAAATCCTTTAACAAAGAATGTTGACCGGTTATCCTTTAAATATTTGTCTGGTGCATTTTCCACTCCTACTGCATGTTATGTATGATTAGCCATACAGTTTTATTCCCAGTGTTTTTTACTTCTTCTCCAATTTGTCCTCTAACTATTCAGTATCCTTGGAACTTTTGTTAATTTTGTTTATGATTACTTTTCATAACACACTTAGTATTATTTAGTTATAAGTCTGCATACGAGCCAAGTGGCCCATCAGGCCAGAGCTTATCTCGGTTTCTGTAGCATGAAGTGACTATGAGTATTTCTACTCCCCCCTGGATGGGATGCTAGTCCATCACAGGGTTACCCTCCAGCATTAAGTTTGCTGGTATCTATTTATACACCTGGATGGAGAGAGGCACTGTGAGAGTAAAGTATCTTGCCCAATAACACAATGCAGTATACCTGACCAGGGCTCGAACCCAGACCGCTTGATCCAGAGACGAGCGCACCAACCATGAGGCAACCATGCCTCATGTTATTTAGTTACAATATCAGCAAAAGTTGGTTCCGCAATTACTAACTATGCTGTGTTGGGGAAGTGCACCCTTTGGCTGTTATTTATTTCGTAGTTATCCCTCAGACAAGGCAGGTCTGGATTATCTATCTACATGTACTTTAAAGCTGATCCTTAGATTGTATACAGACATCTCAGTTGTTTCTCATGAAGGATTATCACACATTCTATTTCACAGCCACTCACCTCTATTGCTTCCTTGGGCAGCAGTGTGTCATAAACAAGTGAATCACAAGAGAAGTGACTTCCGTCTGCAAGAAAAATATATCAGTAAACACTGGAAGACAGTGGTAAACAGTTAACAGAGTGAATACCAAAAAGCCCTCTGGAATCACCAGGATAATGTTTATAAATTGAGTTCCCTGATTTTACAAAATTTTTCTACAAATCTCAGGAAGGCAACAGAAGTTTAAATCCTTAATATATATATATAGCATACTTCCACTGTATCACTATCAATGCAATGAAAGTCATACATGAATAAATGTTTCACACATACAACTACATGTATGTATTAGAGTTTACGCACCTTTAAGTTGAATGACACAGGGAGTACTTTTATCAGACAGTTCAACACGTGGAGAGCTTCTTTTCAGAGAGCCTGACAGGAAAAAAATAACAATCCTACATTTTAGTTTAATTAAGGCGAGACCAAATTTGAAATTAAATTCTCCCACTTATAAACCATACATGTGTTTCCATGTTTCTAGTCACTACTGTGTTCTATGCTTCGTCTGCAGACTTTGCCTTAACCTACCTTTCTTGATGAGATACTAGTCCATCTTAAGTTGTACTGTCTTCCACCAAGCCAAGTGGCCCATCAAGCTGGCACTTATCTCCAGTTTCTGTACCCAGAAGTGACTAGGAGTATTTCAACCTCCACCCCACCCCCAAATGGGATGCTACTCTATTGCACAGGGTTACCCCCCACATTAGATTCATCCATACCCATTTACAGATCTAGGTCAAGAGAGGCACTGTGAGAGTAGAGTGTCTTGTCTAAGAGCACATCACAAAATCCCTGGCCAGGGCTCAAACAAGGTCCACTCAATCCAGAGTTGAGTGGCCTAACCATGGCGCTGCCACTATCAGTAAAACCTGCTCTATAACTAAGATCATAAAGAGCCTTTTCAGACCTGGACTCCACACAACGACTCCTGTTTGAACTCCTCGTATGCTGTGTGCTCCAAGACACAGATAGTCTTCTGGATCAACTTTCCTCATGTGCTCCTGTGTACAAAACATAACTTATCAAAATTTTACTTGAGCACTACACTACACAAATTTTTTCTTAGTCCCCTTGGGTGAATTTGTTTTAGTGTCTAAGCTTAGATTTTGAAGTGATCAAGTCTATTGTTCTCATTACCAGTTTCCTTGGATTTGAGATGATTTTGTAAAGAGCAAATTGAAACTGATTGCTGGTGGAGACAAAAGATTTATATGCATCTCCCAATTGAATTGTTTACTTTTTTCCTTGAATTTTGTGAAGAATATAAAATGTAATGTAAAAAAATTTGTTCGTTCAATATCTGAACTTGTAAACCTACCTATATCTTCTGTCCCTACACTCTCAATCAATATTATCCCCTAGTACCATAGGTCCGCAAGGCATGTAAAAGTTCTGTTTTAGTTACAGAGTCCAGCCTCTTTATATAAACATGCATTTCTGGCTGAAAACATAATTTTGTTCTTCCAAATAGACTGTTGGCACTCAGACAAAAGAAAACCATTTACTGTGCATGTAGAGAAGTTCATATACACTACAAGTCCTGCACAGGTTACCATTTGTAACTCACCACAAATGTTTTCTTTGCAGCTTCCATGACTCCATTCCAGTCAGCTCCCTTCACTGATACTGTTCCCAGATGGACATCATTTTTCTTTGAAAATTGTCAGGAAAAATCAAATAAATGAAAGGCCATCACAACCACGTTCAATCATAACTGGTTGATATAAATATTAAACAAATGAACAAACATACAGTTATAACCAATAACACCTGTTATTATATGGCTGAACTGGTCCACAATGAAAAGGAGAATTCTGATTGGTTATATATACCTTGGTGATGAGAGGTACAGCGTTACCTAAAGCCTGGTTCTCATATGCCGCCAACATACCTGGGACAGAGCCACCAACCGGCCTGGGACACCATTACAGCATATGTGAACATTTATCGCCGAATCATTACCTGTCACAGGCACTGACCGCCAGCTTACCTGCGAAGTTGAGATGAGTTCAACTTCGCAGGCGAGCCGGCAGTCGTTGGCGATTGTCAGGGATGAAAATATTTCATGTGAACATCATCTGCGGATACAATGAATGACGTAACATCTAGATTTTTCCCACAATTCCAAATTTACAGATGGAATGGTTGAAAATTGCGTCAATTCAATTTGCATTAGGTGACAATCTGAGTATGTCGGCGATCCATCGCAGGTGCACCAGGGACCCACTGGAACAGATCACCAAACGTTGTCATCTGCAACCGGCGACTACGTCCCAGGTAGGTCAGCTGGATATGAGAACCAGGCTTTAGTGTCTTGCCCAAGAACACAACAAGATGTTCCAGCAAGAGCTTGAAATCAAACCATTTCATCCAGAGCTAAATATGCTACCCATCTCCCACATCACTGCATAAATCAAACAATCAATATTCACCTTGGAGGGAACGTGGCCAAGTGGTACTGTGGAAAATCCCCTAAGGCACACATCAATTTCAACTGCATCCTCATCATCTGTGTCACCTGGAATGATTTTAAGCTCTCTTATTTACAAGGCTGTGTTGAATTGGGTATGAAATTTAAACTGTCCTTCCAGATTTTGGTTGGATTTCTAAGCACAAGTTGCATGTTCTTGTCTACTTGGAAAAAATTTCTCTCAACCTTTTTGTTTGGAAGAATACTAAGCACCAGTGTGAGAAGCAAAATTAAGACTAAAAGGAAGAGAACTTGAGGGAAATTAGAAAACATATAGATACCTTTTCCAACTAAATTTAGTGCCAGTTATTACATAATAAGTATTTTAGTTCACTCTCTTTGGCTATTTTTAGAGTCTGAACCTCTCCAGACCCACATGTAAATGTTATTTAGTAGTCAGAACATACAAACACACAGCTAACCATGCTTGACTTTGTACAGCTTATAGAGATTTTCCAGTCTCTCAGATGACTCTGTGCTACTGTTTTCAGTCACTTCTCCATTTGTTTGATAATTAGCCAGGGTGACAACTTGTTCTCGCAGCATATCATTTTCATCATGGAGTAGTTTCAGCTCCCCCTGGAAACACAAGACAGCAGAACTGTAAATTGTGTTGTGCTTGACTTTTAAATGATTTTTAATATTAGAGACATCACAAAAGGGTCTAAACCATATGCTAAAGGCAGTGGAAACAAAATAACTGTGCTTCTCGTGTAGAGTTTGATGGTAAAGTCTGGCAGATATTTTTCCATTTAAGAGTATGTGTCTAGACCTGCTTTCACTTGCTCAAAATTTTCAACAAGAACATCAACTAACCTTTATTTCACTGATAATTCCTTGTAATTCATCAGCTTGGTGCAAAGCCACATAAGCTTCCATGCTGAGACCTCCACAGAGTGCCTGGGTAGGAAACATGCACACTTGTTAATCATTTGACAGTAAATAGCTGTGTTAAGATCAAGGAAAACATCAGGCATATGTCTGATAAAGTAGCACCCGACTTGATGACATTTCAATGTAATCAGAAGCTATGCATTTGACAAACAACAACTTCAAAGAAACCAAAACATTGTCACAAAATTCACTGTGCCAAAATAACATCCATAAAACGAATAGAAAAATCCCTCAAAGTAAATCAATCTTTTCCAATTAAAGACGTACGTTTTGTATGGCTTCATATCCTGAACAGATTCACAAAATACATTGCTGCAAATACAATTTGTCTACCAATAGCTCACTTGATATAAATACTGATTAATTCATCTAACAGTAACTGTTAGAGTTGCTTTCAGTTTTGCTGATATGAGTTTGACGAAGTTACAACACTTCTATTTAGCAGAACCTTGCATATTGTGGACATTTCAAAACATGTTAAACACTGATCAGTCTGTTTCAATTAGGCACAAACGTGGTGCATTTGGTGATCAAATCTTGAACCTTAAATGTTTTGAAAGATCAACATGGTTTTTGAACTCAAGCCAAATCCATGAACATTTTTATGGAGGCACGGAGCTATCTGAACATCACTACAAAGTCAGAATGAATTACTGAAAGTCAACGTTGTAACAAAGCTTTTTGTTGCTGTCTTTTAACAAGTACAAGCTGCTCTACTTTTTATTGTTAAACGGTCTGTCAACACCATACAATCACATACATGTTCATGTAATACAGGAAAAATACACAGTCCTAGCAAAGACAAAAAGATGGAGTATGCAACAAAAGCTGGCTGATTAACTGTTAACTCTTAGGACCTGTTGTACAAAGTCAACAAAATGAAAATGAAGCATCACACTAGGACAAAATCCAAGGTCAGAAAAGTCAGATCGTTTAGCTTGCTGCAGGAACCGAAGGAAAATAATTTCAAAGTTGTGTATGACATTCTATTCAATTATTATACTTTGTGGTAATTTAAGTGTTCTTAATAACTTTAAATAAAGCTATATGTACTTCTTGTGATCAGTTAAATATCCAGAAAACTAAATTAATTCAGAGTGTCACTGTTTTGAAAGTCAGAATGCTTACAATCATCATTTGAAAGGGAATTTATTTCGTAAATGTTAGGTCACCATTGCAAATTAAATCATTCTTTAAATTTTGGTTTTAACCAATGTTTTGTTTCTCACTTGAGCTAAAACTACACTTTAAATAGCAAAAAAGGAGAAAATATATTTGATTTCACACTAAAATACTAAACATATTAGAAGACTAGCTTTGTAAACACAGTTAACTTTCCATGAATTGTCCTTATTACATAGGACACATTTTACATTAAGCCTTCATTGAATACATGGGTAAGAAACTATGATCCTGCCTAAAAAGGAACATGGAATTAAAATGTCCTTAAAAGTAGAACTTAAACAAACTGCAAAAATTAATTTTGACTGTGTAAGATGCTATTAAAAAACCTGATTAGTTTCACAAAATCAACTGCATGGCTTGCTGAAACACAAACAGGAAATTTTTGTCAAAAAAGAGGTCAGTTTTGAGCTAAAAAATATCATAAGGAAGCTTCTACACAATACCTGAAAGTGTTCCAAGAGAAATATCACACTACACTCTTTAATAAAATGTCCAAGTTTGAACCAGATATTGTAACAAGACCAGGTACACACTGGGCTCTGGCTGGATTACTAAATGTTGCATTTTTCAAATGTCTGGTGTTCTTCACTGATTGATGTGTGCTTAATATAACACAGTGACATCAATAGATCAGGTTGCTACAGTCTTATCAATACCTTGAAGAAAACATTCATTTAGCTGTCTTGAAAAGACAACAACTATAGAAAACAAAATGCCCACCAAGGGCTCACAGAAATTACATACAGTTAATTAAATGAACATCTGTGATCCAAAATTAATGTGCTGACCAGTCTAATTGATAAAAACTCTTTTGTGCCTGAGAGAATAGGCTTGTAATTAAATCTGCTCATCACATCACGATCTAACTTGAAAGAACATTTGGAGGGATTTGTATCTGAAGAAACTTTCTACCTTTTAATCTGCAAAGAAGATTAAAAAGCCAAAAAGTACACATACATAGCCAACTTTTTTTACATGTACATTTTACTAAGATGATGTTTTGTACATTTTGACATTTTTTAACTTTTTAAGTTTTACAGGACCCTTTTGATAACAGTGCTACTAGTATTGATGGGTTTATCCCACTTAAATATTTGTTTATATTTATCTATTTTATAGTAAGAGGTCATCAATACTTTCTCAGAAATTTAAAATTGAAAGATATACATCAACAAACTCAGGCAATTTTTCAATCTATTTGCAGGAGTGAAATCTTTCACCCACAAGTTGAACAAAATAATCTAGGAAAATGATTATTTCATCACCTCTTTATAAGATGTATTATATGCAGGTAGCTGGTGAAATATGCTGTCTAATAAAACTCGTTATTGATGTCAACTTTCAAATGAATCTCCTTACATCCTTAAGTTTGCCATTAGCCATCAGTAAATATTTATACATGTAAATGTAAGTTGTACATGTATTAACTCCTACTAGGTGAAAAGAGGAATTGAGCGTGACGAACCCAAGAATCCAACATATATGACGGGCATGGTCATGGACAATGCTGTCACAAGTACAGCTCAGTCCAAAGTCCTGCACACTAAGAACCATAACGCCACAAAATATACAATAGCAGCTCCTTGTAAAATACCTTCCAGATCTCTCTTTTTTCATTATTTTAAAGGCAAGTAATGTTTCCACTTTTTTTGTGATATTTCCAATTGCTGGACTTGCCCTTAAGGTGGCGAAATACAAGATACAAAAACCCTCAACTTGTCGCTCAACATGAGCAAATTTGTTGCGTGACAAGTTGCGAGTTTGATGAAAAACGAGCAACAAAGCCAAAATTTGTTGTAGACCCGCACTCTACTTTTCACAACAACTTTCTTCAACCTTTCTTCAACTTTTTAGATCTTATAGATTGTACATATCTTTATTCCCCAGGACCCCTATGGATACCAGCCTCGTTGCTGAATGGGCTACCCTGGTTAAATAAAGTTACTTACTTACTAACCCGCAATAAATGTTTTTGTTGTGCGACAAGTTGATTACGCAACGTGAAAAACGTGAAACATCGACCCAAAACTTGCAACAAAATAATGTTGCGCGACAAGTTGAGGGCTTTTGTATCTCGTATTTCACTGCCTTTAGCTGGGGCAAGCTGTAACTGTGATGTCCTAGCCCAAAAGTCATTTTCACTAGTCCAAAAATTCATCTCTTACAGTACTTCAATCTCTAATTATTGGAATTTCCTCAAAAAATTCCCCAAGAAACTTCGCTAGGGCTATCGGGCTTCACAGGGCTATCGGACACATCTTTCTTTGCATGCTGTTGCAGCTTGATTTCACTGAAAAACAAAATTAAGTAAATTTAAAAAGTTAATAAACAAGTGTAGAACTCACCTTATCTTGAGTGTTTGGGGACACACGCTGCTTAAATCTATCAATTGCTTTATCCAAGATATCAGAGTCCACAAATTCCAAGTTCAGAGATCTGCGCACTTCTCCTAACAGAGCATCTAGTCTAGACTCGTCTTTCTCATCATCATCATCATCGTCATTTTTGCCAGATAACAGTTTGTCGCCTCCAACAAGATTCATGTCAAGAGTCTCAAGATTAGACACCAGTGAGATCCCTGAGTTTGGTTCAGTGTCCACAAAGACAACCGTCTCTGTACTTCCACCAAAGTCTCCAAAGTGATCATCATCAGATGAGTAAGATGACGAAGAAGCATCCCCTTGAGATTCCACATCAGTAGGGACAAATTTGTCTTCTGTTGTACCTGTTCTAAGAGGTTTCTCTGCCTGTAGATCATCAAGTTTCTCAAAATTTATTTTACCCACCCTATCCTCCCTACAAGAAACACTCTTGTCAGGGTCAGGTGGGGGTTTTGGAGTACTCGTGATGTGCATTCCATGTTTCTTTCTATAATCAATAAAAATGTCAACACCTTCAGGGCTGGCTACTTCATGCAGCAGTGGTTCATTACTCTGCAATTTATCAGCAACTGAAGTCAATTCAAGCTCACTTTTATCTTCTCCGTAGCTACTGGAGGTCTCCTTGACCACACCATCACTATCTTTAGCCTCTGTACTTTTCAAACTGTCATGCTTTGTGGTAGTGAGTGTTAAAGATTGTTTCTCGTCAAAGCTGCTAACATCAATGAAATTTCTTTCCTTCTGAGAGAATGCCCTGTCTTTACGTGGTCTTTTCAGGCTGTGAGTATTAGTCAACTTGCTTTGTGTTTCAATGTTATCTGTGGACTCGCTTCCATCATAGGAAACTTTTAAAGCTTTTTCCTCCTTGGGTTTTGGCTGTCTACGCTTATTTCCCTTGTCTTCCAAGCACTCAACCTCTTCTTCAAAGAGCTGCGATCTAAGCTTCCACTCCTTGAGCTTCTTACGAATGTTCTCACTACTTTCATTACTCCCAACCATCTTTGCTTGCATTGCATCACTGCGCTTCTCTCTACCTGAGAAACCCCGCCTCAAGCAATCATAGCTCTTGGAAGACCTTGGTGGAACACCAGTAGGTTTCTTAAAGCTTTCACTGTCATTCTGTTTTCCAGTGGGGCTACTCAAATGCTGCCAACTGCTTGGAAGACTTTTGGGAATTTCACTGGGTTTTGTGCTTTCATTCTGAAGCGATGGATTGTTATACTTCTGCACAGAGACAGGCTTCCGTGATGGTGCTTCTTTGGGTGAGCAAGCCGGCATATTAGCAAGGATCTGTAGAAGTTCTTCGACCGAGACAGCTTTGTCAGCCTCCTGAGAAGGGGAAAGCATGCCTGTGTTAGTAATGGGAGCAGAGGATGGGGAGACTGCTTGGAAATCACTCAGCAATGGAGAATGGTGTTCTTGTAACAGTGACATAGTGGGAGAGGCTTTTGGTATCGTTGGTTTGAGGATTTGCAATTCTAACTCTTTTAACAGTGAAGATGAAAGCTCTTGAGAGACTGGCAAGGGAGGAGTTTGAGTTGCAACTGAAGGTGGCGGAGACAAAGCTTTAAAGACCTCAGGAGGCGGTGTCTGCGTTCCTCTGTGTCGTCTGTAAAATTGCTGTGCTGTTTCAAGTTCAGAAGTGTTGTCTTCTGTGCTAAAATTGTCATCTTCAGGTAATGCATTTTGAGACTCAATGGTAAATTCCGCTTTGTCTAAGGTTGGTACTGAGGCCTGTCTCTCTGTCACTGACATCACCACAGACTCAATATCAGGGTCGGGTAAAACTGTTATCGGAGACTGCAAGAGTTTTTTAATACTCAGTGCTTCAGCTGTAATGATGCTTTCCTTGTCTTCACATCGAGTGTAAAACTCACTGTAATCAGTGTCATCAAACTCCAGCCCTGGCTCTTCAACCTTTTCATCCATTACTGCCATTTCATCTTCTTCCAGTTCCTCAGAAAAGAAATCTCCCTCTGCTGGCTGAGATGGAATTTCAGAAAGCCTCTCAGAAAGAGATTTTCTCCTTGATTGTTCAGAATCCGAGCTAGGTGCCACACTGTTTGGAGACTGAGGGCCAAACAGTGCCTCCATTGCACTGACTTTGCGGTGAGTCACATTGCTTACTAGGCCACTGTGACCACTGGTGTGACGATGGTATTGAGAAGTTGAAACCTCTGGCTGTTTAAAGATCTTCTCAACCTCCGAATCGCTTGAAGAGCTGGTGTATGATGAAGCCCGCCTCAAGGTTTGAAGGTTTGGAAGCTGAACTGGACTGACAGGGCGAAATGAAGGTGGCTGCTCTTCTTCAGCAAATTCAACAGATTGTCTCCTCAATGCAAAGATGGGATCCCTGCTTCCTAACGAATGTCGAACCCTCCTTCTTTGAACTTTAGACCAAGAGGTGGCCCCATTGTCTAGCATAGAGATGTTAGAATCGACAGACACGCTTTTGAGAATACGATCATTATTCAGATTTTGTGGCCGGCGTCTCAATGGCTGAAATAATGGTTCTGAATGAACACTGCTGTCATCTGAAGTATAGCCTGAGTAATCAAGGTATTGTGTAGCACTAGCTGGACGGTGATCACTCAGGCCCATCTTTCTCTGGAAAACATTTCTACCAGTTAATGGACTTTGCTTTGGTTGATTTTGCTGCACAGAGCGAATAAATGGTGATGAAAGACCACTCTCAGAATGCCACAATGATGTGGTTAGCTTTGGAGCAGGAACCTGATAAACTTTGCGCACAAAAGGGGTGTTGCTGTCCGTGGGATGTGTCAACTCACTAAATGACCATGATCTTCTTTTCAGCTCCAAGTTAGAGACATCCTTATTTTGTTCAGGCAAACCAGCAAAGGATCCTGGACATCTTGGCATTTTATTTCCTTCATAATGCCATGAACTGACCAACAACTCTTGCTTGATTTCATTTAGTCGTGGATTCACAAGTTTTTCACTGAAACCTATCCCCTCCTCATTCTCAGGAGCAGGCACTGACATGTTGTAATCACTGCTGCAAGTCGGTGTATTTACTGCTAATAAGTCACCTTCCTTTGTCAAAACTTCAAAACACTCCATTCCATTCTGAAGAGCAAGATTACAACTATCTTTTGTCTGTGCATCAGTCACTGTTTCTTCATAAATGTTTGAAGCCATTACATCAGAGAATTGATGATCATTTTGATGACAAGCAATTTTGACACCATTCTGATTTTCATCCACAACAAAACATTCAGTGTCTTCGATCTCATCAACTTCATTAACGCAGTCAAGACACTTCCTGTCACTCTCACTACTGTGGCTATTGTCATTACCAGTACTGCAGTTTATTGATGAGTGGTAATAGTTGCTTCCATTAATTGAGAGTGCATCTTCTTCAGCTAGTGGTACAAACGTCTCTGGTACACGTACTTCCTGATCAAAATTAACAGACTCGCAACCACTGTTACTCTCAAAGGAAAATTCTTCATTATCAGCCAAAGGAGCAGTCCTTTTCTCCACATCTAAACCATTCTGAACAACATGCAAACCGCTGGGATTTTCTCTCTCCAAGTCCTTACCTCCAAGGACATCAGGCAAATCCCTAAAATTTGCAGCTTGTACATTTTTGCTTTTAAATGTGTCATCTTTGGCAAATCCTTCAAAAAAGAGAACACGTTCCTCAACTGATTTTCTCTTTTCACTTTGCTGGACAATCTCATTATTATCACTCTGGCCTTCATTGTAAGAGAAACGTTTTGTGATGTCTTTATTTTGGTTATAGATTCCTTCAACATGATTAAAACTTGACGGAGGAGCACTGCCACGTCTAAGCTTGGGCTTAGGGGGAACAGGAGGTTTCCCTCTCAACTTTACAGCATCACTCTTTGTCAGTGTACCCTCTGGTGACACACTGTAGTAAAGACAATAGAAATCACTGGAACATCGAGTCTTCTCGACAATATCACAAACTGAGTCCGCATTCTCTGTGACTGAAGTTTCATTCTCATCATCAGCAGTTATGTCCCCATTCATGACATTTTCCTTGGCAACAACACAATTCTTTGAAGCATTTTCTTCAAATGTGGCTGGCTCAGAAGATGACCCCAGTGTGGTGGCAGTATTTGCTTTGCTCTCTTTATGCGCTTGTTCGGACTTTTTGCAATCTTTTTCTTTCACTGGTGATGAGTTGATGGATCCTTGGGAACTATCGCTGCCACCATTTCTTTCAAGTTCCTCGTCCACAAAACACCCAGAGTCAGTTTTACTTTTACTATCAGGTGTACTTCTTCCACGATTGAGTCGACGAATCACTCCAGGCTTTTCTCTGCTACTCATGTCAGTTAAGTTGAGCCATTTGCCATAATGGTCTCACTCTGGCCTGAAATGATTCCAGCTGACCTCTGAAAAATAGAAGATAAAATTTCACATTAAAAAAAAATCATTCACACAATGCTTTTGTGTAATAGAATGAGGAAGACATTTGAGATTCATGATAAGTAAGATGCTGATCAATCAGTAACATTCACATGTTAGCCCAAAGGTCGATTTTCACTGAGCTGTCAAAAGTAATTTGCATTCACTTTTAGTTCTGTATCACTACCTGTATGCTTAAGTGATTGGGTTAAGAAATTTGCACCACTTTCTCACCAGATCAGCTTTATTTAGTAAGGACTAAAACCAGTCATGACTCACTTATACATATAATTTTACATTTTCCACAAGCTTCACATCATCTACACCTACATGCGTTTAGATTGAATTTGTACAGTATAAGGACATCATTTGGTGTAATTAAATAGTGATTATTCTTAAAGATCTAGAGATCCAGATGCACTGTAAATATACTGGTACATTTCTCTTGCAGTTCTCATTCAGTCTTGCAAGTTATTTTGTTTCATCTTACACAACAGGTACAATAATTGTGTCCAATAAATTACTAGCTCTCTGTTAAAAATAACTCTTGATGACAGTCAAAAATAATCTTTAATGAGACAAGCTCTTGTTGAGCCTCAGTTAAATGAAATAATTTATGAGATATGTGTTAACAACAAAAGATCACAAGGGTTGGATCTGACTCAAGTTAAAAAGTCCACATTAGAAGGTGTTATTGATATTCATTTAGCATCCGTGTAGCAAGGCTTCATGATTAGGCAGTGAAGTCATAGCTTTATCAGTTGGCTTGCAATACAATATAGAACATGTACATCACTAGAACATTTTTTTTCCATAAAGATAGCATAATTCTCTCAGCTACTGTAGTCTATGTAATCAACGGGAGGAATTTCAACTTCTACATCTTTAAATTTGCCATGCATGCATGATTTTTGAATCTAGAACAAAAGATTCAAGGAATGTCAATTGATATACATTCATAATGCTCTAATACTGTGATATTTAGATATTTCTACAGATTCTCATTTTGACAATCAGAATTGATCTAGTGAAGCAGAGATTTCTTAAAACAAATGTTATCTTACTTGCTGAGATAATAATCACAAACTGCTAGACAGTAGAAAGTGACAAGAAAGCCGGCTTTTGTCTTCCCAAACAATGAATAAATATAAGTTCAAAATAACCAATGCTTACTTGTAGCATGGTGTTCCAGACATGGCTTTTTAAAGTATTGGTAAAAGAGCACTGATCAATCAGAATGACAATTGTAGCAAACTGGTTGTCAGTCAATGGTCAAAACTTGACACTGCTGTAAATATGTAGTCAAATACACCAGACAGAATACTTGGTATGCAGAAAATGTCATTTACATGTAATTGCTTAAGACATGCATAACATAAATATTAAGTGTATACATGTATGAAACAAAATGAATAACTCTTTTAAATCAAATAAATGCATAATAATTGTCACTTGTCATTCCAATGTGAAACAACAGAATTAACATGGCCATATTAACAACTAAACTGTGGCTGAAAATTAAGAAGCTGGAGTAACTTTATCTCAGTTAGACAGAAAATATGCAAGATCTTTCAGACAGCCCAAAGGGTGCAGTTGATTTCAAAACTGATAAGGGGACACATGGATATGGAGAAGTCGAAATAAGAAAACAAATAAACCTATTACAAAATTACACCAGTATTTACACTGATATTACAAACTGAAATAATCACAATGAAACATTTACATGCTTAGAGACAAGTGTGTATGAGGGATAAATAGATTTACAAATCAAATGCAACTGCCAAATTAATGTACAGATTAACCCAATTTGGTTTAATTAACATTTGACAAATTGAGACCCTTCCCAAGTGTCTACCAAATGCTGCCTGTTAAATTCATTTCACCAACCAAACCTCACAAATAGTTGAAATAATCATGTTAAAATAAAACTGCATAAGAAAACCTTCTGAAATTAAGCATTGCTAAATTGCTTTTTGAAACACTGCAAGTTTTGCAAATATTTTATTATTCCACTTTAAAAAATAGAACTCAGTTTATGGTAGATATGATCCATTACACTGTATATTCAAACAACTCAAAATAAACACAATTGTATCCAGACTGAGGTAATATCCAGTCTGGGTTAAAATAACTAAACAATGACCTCCCTTGATTGCAAAAATGGTCACAAATATATTGCCTGAGCCACACATAATTTGAACTGAGAAGCAAAAAAAATCTCTGAGTGAAGTTCAAGGAGAACTGTGAGCTTTACGAAATAAAGACTACATCCAAGGACCAAATAATACCTTAGTATACATTTTTTTTTTCATGGCATGATCAAGGTAATTGAGTTGATTGTCCTTTAAATATTAAAGTATAAGGTTGCTTGCATGAGGAGACCTGTACTTTCCAAACTGATCAACTCTACCAGTGTTCAAAAATATTTTAAGTCTGTTTAACATGTATGCTGACTACTCAATTTAACATATTATTGTATGTGTATAGTACTTGGGTGTAACCTAAATGTGCAAACATAAAACACAAATTCTGAAAACTGGGAATGTTATTTGGAGGATCATCATCATCTATTCCTCGGGTGGGCTAGATTACATAACTTATTTAGGGCAAGTTCACACAAGAAAAAAATACCTATATTTGATGGATTATGAACCCTTGTGTATTTGAGGATGTTGATTATTCCTAAAAGATGAATGGATAGTTCTCGACACAATGTCTGGCCTTTCTGTATAATTTTATTATTTTGTTTTGTAGCTTCAGATCTGGAATCCCAACAAAACCATACCCATCACATTACTGGTTGAGTCTCTAATCTTTTAAATCAACAATTCTAACAGCTGGAATTTATTCATCAAATGTTTTCTTTTCTTAATTTTTAGAATTTTCCAAAGACATTTTTGCACAAGCCATAAACGTGTTGCCATGCTTTACTTTCCATCCTCCAATCAAAATGTACATGTTAGCATATATATATATATAGCTTATCCCTTATTGGATCAAAGAAAGGTGTATTTACTTAGCGTTAATATTTGTAATGCAAAAATTGTATTCAAAACTAACATCTGCACCAAAAAGGAATTCAATTTGTTCCAGTGCACGTTGTTTATATAAGTTTACACAACTTAACCATCCCATGCTGCTGTTTGTCATATAAAAAGCTTAATCACAGAGTTGACTCGTACTATTTGGTTGATTGGAAATTGGTGGCGAATTAAAGACAAGAGATGTCGTTAAAAACTACTTGTAAAACTTTGGTCGCCTTATTTATTCAAATGCTTCAACATTATTTGTAGTATGTACAGCCAATTAATTGACGGTTGATTTAAAAAAAAGTGTTTGAAATCTCCTTAGGTTGGGTCAAATTTCTAAATTTCTTCAAAAAGTGCATCTGTTTTGTGTACTAGTGGTGCAGGAAATTGTTACTGCAGATGATGCCGGATTGGGCAGATGAAGAAAAGTTACATCATTCTGTGTTTTTATTCGCACTCTGCAATGTCAACAGCTTGCCTTCTAGAATGTGCATTTCATTATTCCAAAGTTCTAAAATGGATCAAATTTTATTTTACTGACAGCAGTAATAATTTCTTGTGGTTATAAAAAACTGGCTTTTTCCCGGCTTCAGAACTACACAATTTTTCAGCCCATATCATCAAATGACTTCCTCTTGGCATAAGGATGCTGCGCATTTACACTGGAAAAAAACTAATTTTCACATGTCAAATAAAAAACAATTATGCCACTGTTTGCCTTTCAACACAGAGGGTGGATTAACAAAAATTCTACATTCCTTTACAAAGTAGGAGCTAGCTATTACTGAAAGGCACGTACACAGCAAGCTGTCTTGATCAAGTTGTTCCCAAAGATCATTCAAACGTGAGCGCAATTGAAAAACGATCGCAGAGAGACATTTTTCACAAAATCGAACACCATGCCACACTTTGAAAAGTGATATGTCATGTTTCTTTGAGTGAAAGTTTCAAGTACATGTACAAGCATTCACAGAAAATAATGCGGATAACACACAAACATTTACTCACAAAAGAATCGCTACAAAATTAACAAATTTTACCTCACAAGGTGGTATTCCGGTGATCTATTGAGCTGCGCCAATGTGAGCAGCGTTTTAGCATGCATCTCGGCATGGAGCCACTACTAGGAACACAAGATCGAATGCACCCCCTTGGAAAGTGCTGGAAAGTGGAATGATTTTGTAGCAATAAAATTTACATAAACGGGGTCGTCACATCAAATATCTCAGTGAGGTGCTCAAGCATAAAACCGCAAAAGTTTGGGATCGCAAGATATGCGGCGATTTGATCTTGAGCTTGGTTTCTATAAGACTAGTTTGGCACAATTACTTCGATACCATAAGCTGAACTACCCACGGGTCCAATGTTTTAACGGTTTATGAGCTTAATTTAAGAAAAACTAAAAACCTATAGAGTGGGTTTGCAGTTTGGTGGACCAATACTAACTATCAAGTCATTTAAACATTCAACTCTTGGAATAGAACAGCTGAAAGAGAAAAGGCCATTTCCCATCCGAGGGCGTGATCTGAAAGTGTCAACGAACTACAATCTCCGAATGTAATTATCTTTTGTCCACCGTTGTTGAAAACCTGAAAACACATTCACGAAAAGAAAGCTCTGATTACATCTTCTAGTTGAGAGGAATCGAAGAAGATCAGAAATGAACCCAGCCGCTAAGAACTAGAATATTGCGTGATTGTATTCTGTAAAGCAGCTTAAGTATAGCTGATATAATTTTCTAAATTTAACCGACCTTTTAAGCAAACAATGGCACTTGTTTCAGGTGAAAACGATCGTGAATTTGTTAGCAAAGCAGTACGCCGTCATGCCTACGTTCGATTTCCCAACGCATATAAGGAATAGACAAACATTTACTGGAATTAACGATAGAAAACTAAGATTCTATGGACAATTAAAACGGTTCTGTAACTTTACCTCGTTCATGCATTGATTACCGTAATCACACAACCGCATCTACAAATACATGTAGTCATTAGTGGCGCTTATTGCAGGTTTTTACTCGAAAAAATACACGAAAGGAACGTTATAAACATGTTTTCACTGCATGCACAGCGAAAGCAAACCTTAAACAAACAACAAGAGAACAAAATTCAATAAGCTTTATAAACGAGTTTCACTTAAATAGTGGTTTACCAGTTATGCACGAGCGACCCAGCGCCCGTACGTGTAAGCGTTTATTTGCAATGACTGAATTCTGCGTAGAATAACAAAGTAATTCATACCGCTAATGGTACACCGATGGACCCGAAACACGTGTTGAGGAGCAGTATAATTTTATGTTCATAGAATCACGTCAATTCCACACAGAATCCATCCAAACAAGAAACCCGGTATTTGTATTTAGAAGGGCTCTCCATAACTCTCACCTTTTATAAGATTCATCTCAACGCGTCCATTTTTCCTTGTCCTGAAATCAGAAGCGTGGCTTGAACACTGACCCGACACTGCCTTATCACGTCTTGATGTCAGTCTTTTGTTGTGGAGAAAATAACGCCGAATCAACTGTTCCGGTCCGATCGTACGCAGGATGTGATAAAATAATCTTCAACTGCCAAAACACTTGAAGGAAATTGCGGTTGCGTGACGTCACAAGCCTCTTTGCGATGCTGTTGTGTCGATCTTCCCGCCTTGCTTTGTATGCAAATTTTTTATCTCCTCTCTTCTTTCACTTCATCTAAAAGCATTGTTCGTTTATAAAAAGATTCTCTTCATTAAAATGAATTAAACACTAGATAAAAGCAAAGAATAAATGGCGCGTGGAAAAACAAAACCACAAAAAATGAAAACGACATACACTTTCCGTTAATAAACTGGATAAGAAAAAACAAAATGTTATCTCTTTGTTACTTTGCAATTTCCTCTGTTTTTACTGTTTCCTGTGAACCTGTGTTTTGAAACAACGAAAGAGGTGAACTCCTTCACTCAGACGAATTCTCAGGGCTGAACAAAGAAAACCTTGAAGTATTTCATGTCATTACTGCAAAGGCTAGCATATCAAATCATCAAAAGAGAAAAATAAAGATCATTTACTTTATTTTGGTCATATTTTTACGAGCGAAACACGGTGAATTTTGTTTTACGTTTAAAACGCTTATTCTAAATATCATTTAATTCGTTAAAATTCGTCACAAAGTCCAAACGAAAAGTTAAGCAGCTTAGCAAAACAGTTGCGCCTACATATATATAATGTGCCATTGGCGGACCACATGTTAGTTTTTTCTCCAAATCAGTGGGTGGTCTGTGCATGTTTACAAGTGGTGACGACTCTAACAAGCTGTTTTTGTGATAATAAAATGGGTCAATCCTAAATAACATGTAAATCAAGTCTTGAAACAAAATTCCTGAAAATAGACTTGAATAATCTCCCTCAATCCTCAATCCTTACAAAGATGCACCCGACGAAATAAAATGATAGTAATTCGACTTTATTTACGGCTTTAATTTTTGAGGAACTTGATTCTTATCTAAGCTAATAAAATTAAACAGATAAGCAAGTACCATACCAAAGGTTGCGGTAATTGTGCGGCATGTAAGACATGTGTAAAATATGGTTCAATAATGATGCCCTTTTTTCCCAGTTTTAATATTGTACTTATCAATCAATGCCTAGGTGACAAAAGAAAGTCAAATAACCAAAGAATTTACCGGATTTTAGAAAGACATTAGAATATTAATAACACTGATAATACTACTAGCTTGACAGATTCTGACCATGCAACGCTTACCGATTTATCAACCTGAAGTTGAAAAAGTTTCATGGCCATCAATCAATGCCGAGGTGACAAAAGAAAGTCAAATAACCAAAGAAATATAATATCGTATTTTAGAAGAAAAAAAAAAGCATCGTAGTATTTAAAATACTACTAGCCTGACAAATTCTGACCATACAACGCTTAGCGATTTATCAACCTGAAGTTGAAAAAGTTTCATGGCTGGAACGGTCAGGTTGTAGATTTCTTTTAACAGAGCTCGAGTCCCGGGGGAGGGCGGCACTGCCATATATGGGCTATATAGGTATGTGCCGCTGTGAAGGGTATGGTTTTCAAGCCGTTTACTCTAGGATAGGGTATATAAATCAGAGCGTTTG